TTCTGCTATTTTCTAATTCATTTCCTCTCAACAGTGGAGGTCAAATTCTCATTCTATCAAATAGAGGAGGTTTGACGAACATCCCTCCGCCCCCTTCGCCCTCCCCCTCCCCAATACCCCAAACTCTTGATTGAACGGGGTTGATTTTGATCAGATCGGATCGAGACTATCAGTTAAATAGTTGCCTCTGTCATCATGCACTGATGTGATTATAATGCAAAACTTTTGAATAGTCATAAAAGAAGAGTTTCGTGAACGAATTGAGCTGCTGAGTAATCGCATGATCGTATTCCACTTAGTAAATTGGTGGGTACTTCGGATTAGTCAAGTCAACTGTTTATAGACTTATAGAGGAGGTTTGACGAACATCCCTCCGCCCCATCCCCGCTCCCCCCATATCTGCTAGTCATTTTGCATTCAGACTCAGAAATGAAACTGTATTTTATTAGAGGATTGAGGACAAAATTACAAGCAATCGTAAGAAGCAGAGTATGGTGAAAAGCGAGACGTTCAATAGAAATTCAGTTGTACATTTTTGTCGATGCCAAATTTTTGTTTGTGTTCATCGAATAATTTCCGCAGCTCCTCACGATACACCTCATGTAAACGATCCACATCTTCCTGCGTTGGATTCAGCTTTTTCTCAACCGCAATCGGCGTTCCAACTGGAATTTTTCATTCGTTTAACCTTGAAATCATCCATTCTATGCTTGCCGTTTTTAATAGTTCAGAATTTTCCACTCACAGTCAGATGGTAGAATCATCTTTTGATAGATAATTCAGAACTGTGAATTGGTATCCACCTGGAATTGCTAAAATGTGTTGCGTATTATCTCGTCGATCTTCTAATTCAATTTTTGCAAAATTTCATCAGCTCTTATGAAAAGTAGTGAGTGAGAACATTGAAGTGGCCTAATATTACTCACCAACTGTATGGATTGGTGTTCTGAACGGTAGAATACCGAATGTATAGTTAAACATGCCTCGACCACAGAAGATTGGCGGGCTGAAGCCTGCATAGCGACGGAACACGACCTGGACACATCCTTATGTGAAGTGGTGCTATAGAAGGCACTCAAAATATGGGGCATTTGATCCGAAGCTGTTGTACAGACATATTCAGTGCAATGCTTCAGAGCTCATGGCTTAAAGAATACTTCCAATAGGCTGCAGCTGGTGCTGTAGGTAGACATTACAATTTGAATAAGGACTTATTTTATAAAAAGTAAGATCTGTTACTCAAGTAACAGATCTTATTTTATTTCACTTAAGTAATAGACTTGAGTGAAATTCGGAATCCTCAAATTCCGGATCGGTTCCCCATTGAGCCGTATACCTTCTATTTGCGACATTGCTGATAGAGTGAAAAATGCTAGTAGGTCTAGTCTAAACACAACTATATACAAACATTCCAACTAGGATGTCAAGGAGTAATCACGCTCTTCTCCCAATAGCAAAATCCTCAGTAAACACTTCACGAACAAATTCCTCGGCCATTGGCTTAACGTATCCTTCCACTTCGGTGTACTAACCTGTATTTTCCGCAGAATTGTTCCACGTTTGTTCGAAATTTGGCTAAACGTATTGTTCTCTCCAAAATGATAAACTGGTACTAAATGTGCTCTGAAATATTTGAATTGGTTGATAATTAATATTTGTTGCTTGCCTTATAAAAAAACAATCCGCTTAATGGAGCTGTTGAAAGTGAATATGAGATTCGTGTTTATTAAGCAAGTCGTAGCAAATTTCAACGTGCCCGGTCTCGAGTGCAAGCGCGATAAAACCCTTCCGCCTCATCAGTAGCAAATCGTAGCAGTCCGAATGTGCATCTAGTGCTTCTTCAGCACCACCCAAAACGATCGCAACGCCCACACCACCGTTACTATTATTCAGAACATGCGTAATACTTGATCGTGAACACGCAATCATTCCTGTCGAAAACAATTCAGATCATATCTGATTTTTTCCGTAATCTTGCTCTGCATCCGTCCCTTTCAGGTGTCCGAAGAGGCCATTATTCTCATTTTCCGAAAAACCCTTGCGAGTGATGAGCTTACTTACATGAAACTATGTGATTTATTCAAATTCATCAGTCCGCTTCCCAAATCGCGACAAAAATTTCCTCAGAAAGGAACTTTCCCTCATTATGTGGATCTCTTTTTTTCTATCCGAATCGAATAATATTAGCAAAAGCAAAAACAGAAAGTCTCTATTGGTCGCATCTGGTGGGACAGCGTATGTGAACTATTTCGGAGGCATCTGATGGCCATAATTCATTCATATTTGGAGAGCAGATTAATGGAAAGGAATATCTGAGATCAATTTGATGAATCAACAAGAACCTGATGTAAGTAAGCATTCGCGTCTGAAAGGGAACCAAAACTGTCCGTTGAGCGCAGCTAAGTATGTTTTCAGTCCGGGAAAAGCGTCCCAAAATCCGGTTCCGTTTGTACAAAATGATGTGTAGGCGCCTATACTCATGATACCATGTGGATGAGACCTCAAAACACATAGACACTAACTCCTGTTATTTCTCATTATTTTGTCTGAAAATTTGAGTTTAAAAAACTCGAGATGTTATGGGAGTACGGCAGTCTTATAGTTTATTCATTGGGCGGTTTGATCACTTCGTACATACCCAAAAATATAGTTGTGCTGAGGAGGTAGTTCAGCTGTTTTCACGAGCTTTATCGGGAAATAATCGGCCAGGTAACGCCAGTTGATGCCATTCCGAATGAAACTCAGTGGTCTTGCACCACGTTCTGGTGTTCGGAAATCATACACGAACCATATGAAATATAAGGCTGTGATCCACCTGCAAAAAACACTTAAATGTTCCTGAAGCCTAGATAACACCAATTTGAGTATTTCGTCAAAGAGCATTCAGTATTTCGTCAAACAGAATTTTTTATAGTGGAGCGAAATCGATACTTTGGTTGTTGGAGACAAATCTTATCAGTCGAGACCAATTACGCTGAGTAAATCAATTAGGTTTATTCGTGAACTACACATCCGGAACAGCTGATTGCATTGTATTGCTTAGGAAAACAATGTCTATTTCAGTAGTTTAAAACATTATCAGAAATATGGCATCATTGAGTTTCTTTCAAAGCTAAAGAAAGAAGAGGATCTCAATAGAACTTACCAAAAAGAAGTGAGTAAAAGGTAAACAGCAATGAATATTGAGAGCGGCGGTGCGATTAGAAAGAAGAACACGTAGTATGCAGCTGCTAGCGTTTGCAGTCGTCTTTCTAGAGGAATATTTAACGGTGCAAACTTGATTACGGCCATTCAAGAAGGGAATGAATGCTTATTTCAGACTGAAACGTTACATGCTCAGTTCATGAATTGATTCAAATGAATTCTGCATCTGCAGTCAAGTTTCACGTCGAAAATGTCCGAACGCTTTTCAAATATCAATAAGCATAACAATAATGTAACATAATATAACTCTTCCAATAAGATAAGTCAATGAGTTGAAATGATCACGAGGTGACTGACGCATTTGCATCACTCTTATAAGATAAATTTCGAGATATCGGACACGAAGAAATTGTCAATATCCGAGTCAGTAAGAAAGATCAGTGGCTGATCATCCATCCAGCTTTGAATTGAGACACTGATGAAGAAAGAAACATATGTGATCAATGAAGGCAACAAGCACCCAAATGCACCAAACAGCACTCACAATCAGTGCCGATCAAAGAGCTAGCTGTGCACGCGGATGTGTTCGTGTTGTTCATTGCTATTCGATAGTGTTTGCACTAGTATTATGTAGTATGATATCGTCAACAAATCACCAGCTCGAGATCGTTAACAAACTGTTATCAGTTGATCAATGTAGTTCGCCACTACGGGATCATTTCCACAAGAGACTGACCATTCAATTCACCTTCTTTCTGAGAGAATGTAACTGATAAGATATCTGATTGATTAGATAACTTATTGATAATCTAGCGAACTAAATCCACTTCAGCTTGCAATATATCTAACAAATGTTTTCATATAGATTACATTACACACCAGCCTCGTCCTCAACGTCTGGTTTAACACTAACAACTAACTGTTATATGACAGTGTAAAAAACTGCCAAGTCATAAAACCTTTCTTCCATTCATATCAGTGATCGACAGCATTCGAAATAAGTGCAACCCATCAAACTGTATCATACCCGCTAGGAATAAACCGATCAAATTTCCCTAAGGGTGATTATGTCACAAAGAACGCATTGATTAACTGCATTGATCACATCTATTATCAACATTATCTGCTCTTGATGAATATTTTATTGCGCATGTACATATTATTCATTTATCACGTTTCTGCATCCATAGCGATTGTTTCGGATGTCTCATACACATCTGTCTGCATGCAATCTTCTGCATTCATCTGATCGCTTGAGTGTTCGATGGTATCATGATTAGGCACTGATAATGAATTCGTCTGTTTAGCGCCAGTCACGAACAAACCTCACAAAATAAACA